AAAAAAAAAACAGATAATTAAGAGGTACGGGATATTATAGTATTTCATAAGTAAGCCATGAATATTGGATCAGTTTGGTCTTTGTAAGTTTTTGCTCATGAGAACAAAGAGTAGATCAATCAGATCTGAGTGGGGTGGATACTGATAGAATTATCCAGGAGCAATTTCTACTAACTGATGCCAGGATATGTTAAGGAAAGTTTAGTAAAGCCATTCACCACAACTATGCTGATTGAGGAGTGAACACTTTCTTGGAAAAAACAATCTGGAGCAGATGTTTGATTTTGTGGCACGTGTAGAAAATTATATTTATACAGCTCACTAGTGTGGGTAGGTGCTTGGAGGCAGAGCTCCAGTCCCCCATCGATACCCCCTCAGCACACTGAAGCTGGGCAGCTCAGATTGGCAGTGGTGGTGCTCATCCCTGGCTGTACACTGGAATCACCAGGGGAGCTTTGGAAAATGATGGTGCCTAATGAAATTGCGGTGATTCTGATGTAACTGGGGTGTAGTCTGGGCACTGGGATTTTTAAAAAGCTCCACAGGTGATTCTAACCTTCAGTCAAGGTTGAGAATCACTGATATTCTAGAGCTGTGGTTTTCAAACTTTAGTGGGCTAAGAACCCCAGGTAGGACTGTCACAGTACAGACTTCTGGGTCCCAGCGCAGGGTTTCTGATTCAGTAGATCTGGACTGGGTCCTTGGAACCTTGCATTTCTAGTAAGTTCGCAGGTGATGCCCATGCTCCTCGTATTGGAACCACACTTTGAGAACTTCTGCTCTAGAGGGAGTAAACTATATAGGCAAGGAGTTGAAACTGCTTCCTTAGTGCATTCCTATTAATTACGTCATGTATTTATGGTTATATAATGTATGATATATTGGTATATTCCTTCTGCTAGGAGGCAGTTGAATGAACAGCAAATAAATTCAGCCTATAATAATATTTATTGCGGGAGCATTATGCGCTGGTTATTTTTACTGCATTACAACTCTGAGGTTAGCAGCAGCAGCCCCATTTTACAGATGAGAACACTGTGATGCAGACATGTAAGTCATTGCCCTAGCACACACAGCTGGCAAAGGGGAAAGTCGGAATTTAAACTCAGGCCTGCCTGATTCTGAAACCTTTGTTTTTAACATCTGGCTAAAGTCCTGATATTTAACCCTTTTCTCCATAAGAAGGAGAAAGTTGCCATAGGAATCTAAAGAAATAAAGGGTTACTTTAAAAAATATCTCTATAAATCAGACTAATTTAGGCAGTTCCATCTAGGCATTGCTAGACTGGGGAGTTTGTCTGAGGGGTGTGAATCTTGTCCTGCTTCTCGTGCTCCTGCGTGTGGGAGGCAGTAGGGGAGTGGGGCAGGGGAGGTTGGCTGAGACCTCAAATGGCAGAGGGACAGAGCTGCTTTGCTGTAACAGTAGTCGGGGGGACAATACCTCCAAGTCCATGGGCAATTCTTGTCCAAACTGCACTGTCTTGGCAGCTTCTATAACTGCAGCTTGATCCCGGTAGGTAGGAATGATGTTGTATTTGAAACTCAGCTCATCTATAGGCAAATTGTATTTCCGAGCATGATTTTGAAGAGTTCCTATAAATACGAAAACCAGAAAGCTGGGTCCTCGGAACAACACTGCCGCTTCTCAAACACGGCCTCCGCTTGCCTCCATCAGTTTGAGAGCTTCCTCTCCACTGAGAAGTCTCAACCACTAATGCCTTATTCTGAATTAGTTCATCAGCCGGGAAGCCTGCGGTGACGTTGGGAGAGGTGGAGCCATGGCGGGGCTGGGAAGAGAGGGAGGAAGGCCAAGTCTCAAGGGCACTGCTCTGCAGTGAGGGAGACAGGCCAGTGCAGGAGTTCCAGAGCCCCATCTCCCTAACTTCAGAGTCCTGCTCAGCTTGTCTTGTATGGGCTGTTAATAAGGGATTCAGGATGAGACAGATTAAGGGCTGGGCCCTCTAGCTGGAGTCCTTGAGGGCTGATGGAAGGACAGAAGGAGTATTTTTTAGAGGGAAGGAAGCTGCGCTGAGGTGGGGCCGGAGCAGGGGGTGAGCAGGTGGTGCCTTTAAGCACGGGTTGCATGGGTCGCATGGGTCGCACGGGTCGCATGGGTCGCATGGGTCGCACGGGTCGCATGGGTCGCATGGGTCGCACGGGTCGCATGGGTCGCATGGGTCGCATGGGTCGCACGGGGACTGGGGCGTGCTGTGGACCCTCACAGCAGCAGTGCACTCGCGTGCACAACGGAGAGGGTCTGGGACTAAGTTGTAGGGGAGCGGCTGCTATTTCTGTCATCCTTTCCCCTGGCAAGTGAAGAAGAGCAGGGCCTCACCGAACTGCCCTAAAACCAACAGTCCATGGTTAGGTCATTGGCAGCCAGGCCTTTCCCCTGGTTCCTAGAAACCCAGCATGTAACAAATCACGGTCTTTTCGGTGGGATTTTTCTTGGGAAAGCACGGTTTGTTACCTGTTAGAAATCCTTGAGGAAAGAAGAAACCGGAGATCCAGAAGGACTTAGGCTGCCCTCTTTTGAGCCACAACTAAAGGAGAAACATTACATCATCATGTATTGTTTTTCTGAAATGGAGTTTGTCATTTAAATCAAAGTCATATTCTGGAGGGCCTCTCAGGGGACAGAATCTCAACCAGCCTGAGTTAGTCACCAGCCCCATTCTCACTGCCTGTCTGTCCCCCCCTTCCTCACCCAACAGCCTGACCATAAATCCAGAAGCTGGTTATTACAGGGGGTGTGGAAGAAGGGAGACCACAGCAAGGTCACACCTGGCAGTTTGGACCTATGTCAGATTGGTTCTGTACCTCACAGTGGGGTCCTATGAACTAGATCTGAAACTAAAATGGGATGTGGGGATAAGGGCCAAGGGCAAAGTACATTATAACGAGCATGACTTCCAAATTGATGCCATTCGGGAAGTTTCTGTTTCTTTGGGCTCGGATGATCCCTCAATGGTTGCTAGTGTTTCAGTTCGCTAGGGCTTCCTAAGGACCTTAAGGCCTACCGTGTTCATCAAACCCCAAAGAAGTGAATTTTCTTACGTCCACAAACGCAGTCCTCAGGATGAGGTCTTTGACCCATGATCCCAGTGGCTTCAGGGATGGGTAGGCTGTGCTGGACCACAGAGAAGGAACCTGGTTGTTGAGGAAACTGTTATACACCTTCTCCATTTCTTCAGACATCACCACTAAGCCGGCGATGGCTTTGTTGAGTGTTTCCAGAGAAGTCTGAAAGAACAAAATGGGGAGATACCTTTCACAGATGTAATTATCAAGTGTGAGTGCCACTCATTTGAGGCAGCTGGTACTGCCTTGGGCTGAAGGGCCCACTTGCTGGGTTCCATCCTCTCGGTACACGGTCTGCTGGGCCAGACCCTCCAGTCTTTCATCCATTTTTACAACGTGTGACCATAGGTGGGAAGAGCTGGGTGGGGGTGCGGGGGGTTCAGGTGGTTAATAGCAGAATCCAATGAAGTGGAAAGAGGGGAAGGAGGAGAAATATCCCCTGAAGCCTCGAGAAGTGGTTTCAAGAACTGCCACTGAACAGCTTTCCTTCAGGCTAAAGGAAAAATGGGCCTGACGGTTAGTTATTTGGGAAGCATAGGGATGGTGGTGGCAACTACCTCAGGCCTCCGGGGAGCTCTGCCCCGGGGCTGCCCATGGCCTCTGAGGTTAGAGCAGAGAGGGAAGATTCTTAGATGAGACCAATCTTTCAGCTGGTACCAGACAGTCTCCTTGAACTGGAAACACCCCCTCACCCTCCCCTCGCCACCACAAAAGTCAGAGGCTGGTAGCGGCCTCGGGAAGCCCAGGGCAGTAGGGGCTAAAGATGAAGGCTGGTGTGGGATTGGTAGGGCCTGCACAGGTTCCAGTTTTGTGAAAACTACTGCTATCTACTGGGAAGATATTACAGAAGGACGTTGGAGGCCAGATTTATGCGGATTCAAAAAACAAAATAAGGTCCAGGACCATATAGTTCTGGAGATAGGCCATATGTGGATGAACAAGGTTAGTCAGCCTTCCCTTCCCTCATAGGGTTATCCCCCTCAGCACCCCCCCCACACACACACCCCATCTCTCTTCACAAGAGGCAGTAGTATGAAAAGGAAGAGTTTTAGTTAGATCTGCCCTCGGGACGTGAGGAGCCCTTGGTAGCGTGGGAAAGCAAGGGGGCTCTCAGCCACAGCCGAGGCGGTATTCCACCTTAGATACCGAAAATGGAAAAAGAAGCAGAAGACTTATGTAAAATGCTGGGAGAATGCTTAAGTTATGGGGTGGGAGGGGGAGGTTAGGCAGCTAGGGTCTTCTAGGTCTGCTTAAAATGGAGGTCACTTTGCGGCCGGTTCTCCCAGAGAAGAATGTTCAGTGGGAGAAAGTGTACTTCAAGATGTTCTTCTCTATGGCTAGAAGCCTGCCTAACAGGCTGGCCTCATCTCTCCCAGGACCCACCCTGGCTCATAGTTCCGTCACTAGAGGGAGGAGAATGGGCTCCCCGGGGTGCTGCACCTTCCTTGGCCTTTCTTATTGCCACTGCGGTGCTGCCTTCCTATTCCCTGGGTGAAATGAAGGTGAGGCTGGGCCAGAGTCAGGATGGGGGTGCGGTTAGGGGCCACCACCTCTCCCTCAGACAGGAGCGCCCTGCCGGGATTCCCGACTGCCTTGCAGGCTGCTTCTTCCTGGACTCTGCCCTCTTCTTCCTGTAGGTGAATCCCTCCATTACTGGGAGACGGTAATGTTTGACCAGAAGTGGCCACAAGGAGACTTGAGAGCCACACTTATTCATTGGCCCATGCAAATAGTCACAAAGATTTAGGATGTGTCAGGGACTAGCGAAACAAAGATGGCTAATATACTAGTTTCCTTCTCTTCAAGAAGTTCATTGACTCACGGGGGAGCCCTCCTCATGGAGGAGAAATTACAAAGTAATGTGGCAGGGACCGTGATAGACACAGACACCTGAAATGATGGAGTGCTGAGGAGGGGCTCCTAAGTTATCTGATGGTGGAGGGATGGGCTGGTGTGTCAGGAAGACTCTTTGGAGGAAGTGACATTTGGATTTGTCCATCTTCAAGTAGGTGAAAGGTCATGATGTGGAGGAGGCCAGACATGAGCAGCATCCATGTTCGTCCTCTGAACAACAGTCCTCCCTTCATTTTAGCTGGGCATACAGCAATCCAATATAGAGACTGTATTTCCCACCACCCTTGCAGCTGGGGTATGGCCATGTGACCAAATTTTGGCTAATGGGGTACAGGAAAAAAATGATGTATGCAATTTCTGGGTCACATTTTTATGAGCTTTCTCTCAGCCCTCTCTTTCCCCTGTCCCCCTGGCTGGCAAAAGGGGACAATAGAAGCAGCCACCTTAGGCCCAGAGATGCAGGCTAGCTGTTGAGACTGGAAGAGCCAACCCTCCAGCCGGGGACCCTAGATGAGCTCACAGAGCAAGATGAACTACCTGCCCTACAGGGCTTCTTCTGGGCTGTTACCTGAGAGGGAAGTGAATTTTTACCTTGTTTTGGTCATTGTATTTGGAGGTCTTTATCATAGCAGCTTAATTTCTATCTTGGCTCTTTCAGTGTAGAAGGAGATAAGCCCTGGGCTGGCCACCTGGCCTTGACACTGGTATACAGCTGACTAGATCCACAGTCCCAAGGTGAGGACTTCACATATTCAGCTGACCGGTGCCCCCCTAACCCACAAACCTAAGTATTGCCAGCCAACCAGCAACATCGGGAGACTGCTTTTCTAAGAGGAGACAGTCTTTGGCTTTAAAAGATTTACACCAGGTGTCCTCCCCAATCTTACCACCGAGCCTTGACTTTGTGCTAGGTATTTGGTCCTTGCTGGGCAGCAAAATCTTCCCTGGTAATATTCAGTATTTGGTCTCTAAAAGTTTTTGTGTTTCCCTCATCAAAGTTTTGCACAGAGAAACCAGGGAGGCCTTTAGCCATCATTACAAATTCAAGGCCATCCAGAAAGTGTTCCAGAGCATAGGCAAAGTCTCCCAATAGTTGTCCTCAAATTTTAGTGGCAGTGAAATCATCTGGGGGAGTTTATTTAAAATTCATAATCCCAGGAATTTCTCAAGGAATTCTAACTCAGTAGGTCTGGAGTGGGATCAGGGAATCTACATTTTGAACATGCCACATGGCAGATTCTAACGCGAGCATTTTGTGGCCCAACTTGGAGAAACTCTGGTTTTTATAGTCGTCATAAAGACTGTGTTATTATATGCAAACCAGACATCAGGAACATGCACTGAATCTCTTAATTCAGTGCTTCGGTCCTTGATCAAATGTCTAGAGTCAATGCTCGTTCCAGGGGTGTAAGTTAGGATAACGAGGACACTGGGATCTGTAACGTCACAGACTGATGGAGGCCTTATTAGGGAAGGGGAACAGACTCGTTGGATGGGGGTCAATTCCATTTTAGCCAAGTTGTGTTGGAAAAGTTGTTAGCATATCCAAACGGAAATGCTGAAGTGGTGGGAACCGGACGATTCTTCCGAGGCTACGCTTCTCTACAAAGCTTTGCTGCCCATCAGCAATGAGGGCAGTGAGCGCTCATACGTGTATTAACTTCAGTAGCTTGTTAAAGCGGTCCACTTCTTGTCCAAGCACGGTAGTCAAGGAGTTAAGGCGTCCTTGAGGATCCCTGATGAAAAGGCTCTCCGTTGCACTCTCCATTTCTAGTGTTTCTGAAACACACACAGCTGATTCCTCAGATTGATCATCATGGATGGCTGTCCTCCTAACACTGCTATTGTCATGCACTTAGCTTAACTCTTACAAAGCCGATGACTTCTGCACCTGGGCCGGGGCTGAATGGGAGTCAGGCCCCGCACAGACCTCAGTGGCAAAAGGCCATCAGGACAAGCGGTTACCTGGCAGGTGAGGGCCATCCCTGGGACCAGAGGTGCCAGCGACCCTGAGTTTTCTCTGCCATGCAGGCATGTAAGCCGCCCTCTTCCCTGCACACGTGCACTGCATTTCAGAGACGAGGGGGTGGGTGGGGGGAGAATGAGGGATGAGGCAGGTGTAGAATTTATCTTGTTCCTGAGCATTATTCAAAGGGACTGACTCAGTCATTAGGCCCATGGTTCAGGCTGGATCGAAAGTTCTGCTCTTCCTTTTCCCTACAGTCTAGCAACTTGAGGCTCGTAGAAGCAATACAAAAATGAAGGACCAGCATTTTGCCTGCATGTCTGAGTAAAGTGTTAGTGAGTGGCTCTGAAGTCCATATACTGAATTCCTTCTGAATTTGCATTTTCACTGCTCTAGAAAAATCACACAGCGGTGTGGGTGAGTCTAGTCTCGCGTCATCCCCAGTGCTGTGCTCACACGTCCCGGGTCCCCTCTCAGCCCCTGAGGGGCTATTCCAAACCCTCAGGTCTCTTACTGAACCAGTCACATCCCTGTCCCCTTTGCCTTAGCAGACGGCATTGCTTATTTCACGCTGAAAGTATAAGCTGTATTAAGCTCAGAGAGAAAAATCTCCTAGGTGTCAGTGGAACTCTGTGAACCAAGTACACAGTCTTCCAGCCAGCCACCTGCCTATGCATCCCTTTTCCACCCAGCCCTCCATCTCATATTTGTTAAAAATCGCTTCCTAAACTAACTGACACAGTTTGCTTCACCATCAACAGAACCCTCTACTCAGAAGGCCTCTTTTGAGGGCCTGTTTTGGGAGGAGACGACTGGCTTCTGAGGTCACACAGGCCTTTTCTTCTGGGGGTCTTAGGAGGATTGGCAAGACTCTGTCTGTTGTATGGTGATATAATAAGAAATAAATATTTTGGTCTTTGTCCCTGGTTCCTCCTGGCTGGAGCCCCCCAGACCCTTGTAATTTCCTAAGTAATAAGAGGGATGGGAGCATCATTTTTTATATTTGGCTTTGACCCTGGCTCCTACAATAGCCTCTGAGTGTTAAAGGTGAAAGGATCGTCTTTTGTTATTCATAACATAAGCCTGGGTCTTTGTTAATGAGATGGCTTTGGACAGCCTCTAAGGGTGGGGGGCTCTTTGTCAGGGGAACCAACCAATGGGATTAGACTGTCGGAACTTTCAGCTTCCCCCTCTGACCTCTTGGGAAGGGAGAGGGGCTGGAGATTGAATTAATGACTAATGGCTAATGATTTAGTCAATTATGCCTAATAATGAAGCTTCCATAAAAACCCTAACTGAAGGGGTTTGGAGAGCTTCTGTGCACTAGGAGGGTGGTGTACCCTGACTCCATGGGGACAGAAGCTCCTGCTCTTGAGACTCTTCTAGACCTTGCCCCATGTACCTCTGCATGTGGTTGTTTATCTGTACCCTTTATTATATCTTTTATTATAAACTGGTAAATGTGTTTCCCTGAGTTCTGTGAGCCATTCTAGCAAATTTTAAACCTAAGAAGGGGGTTGTGGGAACCCCCAAATTATTGCGGGTTAGTCAGAAGTATAGGTCACAACTTGGGACTTGAGATTATCATCTAAAGTGGAGGGCAGTCTTATGGGATCGAGTCCTTAACCTGTGGGGTCCACGCTAACTCTGGTTAGTGTCATAATTGGATTGTAGGATACCCAGTTGGTGTCCAGAGAGTTGGAGAATTGCTTAATGTAAGGGAAAAGCCCACACATTTGGTGTCAAAAGTGTTGTGAGTAGAGAGAGAAACACAGTTTACTTTTACATTAGACTAAGAAATGTAAATCTACAGTCACTCTAAGAAAAGTGTGAGAGTAGATCTCTGATCATTTGGGAAGATTCCTTAACTCACCAGAAAACAAGGTGATAATAATTTAGCCATTTCTCTTGAATCTAGAAAAAAAATGACATGGATTCTAGAGGAGGGCTGTCTAATGGCACATTTTACAATAACGGAAATGTCTTCGATCTGTGTTGTCCGATACAGTAGCACTCAAAATATGGCTAGTGCAACTGAGGAAATGAATTTTAAATTTTACTTATTTATATTTAAGTAGCCACTTGTGGCTAGTGGCTACTGTCTTGGGCAGCACAGGTCTAGAGGCACAGGGAAGCTCAGAAAAAAGTCTAGTTAAAGTTTCATGGGGCTAGAAATCAACTTGCACCTAATGCTTCTGGCAGTTGGGTTGTTGAGATGCTCAAGGCTTCCATGGAGAGCTCCGAGTCAGAAGTGCTCTCTACATAAAGAAAAGTGTATGTAATAAAGCATATTTGGATACCTGCTCATCACTCAGCTTTCTGAGTTTATTCCTGAAAGTCCTATGATGTACAGAAGCCAGGGATTATTTATTACCTGGAACTCTGGTCCGGACTGAAGCAACAAGTTCTTGGACAATTTCATCATTGCTTTTTCCCTCTCCACCAGATGACGATCTTGGCTGAACTTCAAGTATGGTGTTGATTAAAGTGTTGGTCTCTTTGTACTGTAATGTTGGGAAGAGACAGAACAGTGAAGGCTCGAATTCTCAGAAAATAATTTACAGTACAATTTACTTATAGAAATGGCAATTGTCAAAAAGGGAAAACTTTTATGTTGAAGATAGAATTGGTAAAATGTGCTCATTGGAAATGCACTGGAACAATGTGGGGGTTAAAGCGCATTGCCCTTCCTGGTTACACAGTCAAAAATCCATGTATGACTTGATTCTTCAAAAATGTAACCACTAATAGCCTACTGTTGACTGGAAGGCTTACCAATAACATAAACAGTTGATTAACACACATTTTGTGTATGTATTATATGCTGTATTCTTAAGTAAGCTAAAGAAAATAAAATGTTAGTAAGAAACTCATAGGGGCGCCTGGGTGGCTTAGTCGGGTAAGTGTCTGCCTTCGGCTCAGGTCATGATCTCAGGGTCCTGGGATCGAGCCCCGCATCGGGCTCCCTGCTCAGTGGGGAGCCTGTTTCTCCCTTTCCCTCTGTGTGCTCGTTTACTCTCTCTCTCTCTCTTTCAAATAAATAAATAAATCTTAAAAAAAAAGAAAAAAATTCCGTGTATAAATGGGCCACACAGTTCAAACCTGTGCTGTTCAAGGGTCAATTGTACACAGTGGTCAGTGTTATATTTAAACATTTTTGGTTGAACAATAATGTGAATGTACTTAATGCCACTGAACTGTATACTTAAAAATGGTTAAAAGGGTAAATTTTATGTTATATATATTTGACCCTAATAAAAAATGAATAAAAATTTTTTAGCTAATCATTTAAAAGACAGTTTATAAAAATGAAGAAGAAATAATGAGAATGCTGTTTTGAAACATACTTTTATTTAAATAACATTTTTTTCAACTAGAAAAGTGTTATGGCTTATTATAGAAAATTTAGAAACTACAGAAAAGTATAAAGAAAAAATAAATATTCGTGATCCTGCTTTTCAGAGATATTTATAACTTTAGTTTACCCCCCACTTGGACATTTTCTCTGTATATGTGCATCTAATTTAAAAAACTGAGCCCATACAATTTATATAGTATTCATTCTTTTTCAATTTCATGAACATTTTTCTCCTATCACTGACAAATCTTCCTGAATCATGCTTTAAGTGACTGTGTGATACTTGGTGGTATGAAGAGCCATAGTTAATATAGTTGTTTATCTACTATATTACTACTAGATATGTTTTGGACATTTCTAGTTTTTAGATTTTATAGAACTTGGTGAATAGAATATCTGTATATGAATTTCACCCACTATATTTGAAATTCTTTAAATGATGTATTTCCAAAAGAATATTTTTAAAATGGGTATTACTATATTGATTTCTAAAAACACTATATCAGTTTATACTCCCAACAATAGTGTATCAGAGGACCTATTTTTATCTTTGCAAGAATTAATATCTTTGCTTAAAAATCTTTTCAAATTTAATAGGTAAAAAGTTTCTCTCTCTCTCTCTTTTTTTTTGCTCTACTTGGAGGGTTATCAGAGTTAAGCATTTTATTTTATTTTTTTCAGAGTTAAGCATTTTAAAAATATGTTCATTGGTCATCTGTATTACATCTTTATAAATTACTCATGTATTTTGCACACTTTCGATTTTTAGTCTTTTTGTTACTGATTTATGAGAGATAATTCTATAATAAGAATAATTAACTTCTTTCCCCCCAATTCTTTTGTGGTAAAATACATGTAACATAAAAATACTGTCTTAACTATCTTTAAGTATACAGTTCAGTGGTATTAAATACATTAATAAAGTTGTGCAACCATCACCACTATCCATCTCCATAATTCTTTTCATCTTGTAAAACTGAAGCCCCTTACCCATTAAACAGTAACTCCTCATTTCTCCCTTTTCCCAGCCCCTGGCAACTACCATTCTACTTTCTGTCTCTAGGATTTTTGACTGCTCTAAATACCTCACATAAATAGAATTATACAGTATTTGTCTTTATGTGACTGGCTTATTTCACTTAGTATCATGTCTTCAAGGTTCATCCATGTTGTA